TTCAAATTTCTTACCACAAATGGAGCAATTAGATGCTAATCTAAACTCTAATTTTTGTTCGTTTGTTAAGTCATCCATTGGTTTAATCATATTCATTTTTTCAAATATATATATCTTTCTTAATTTCAGTCAGTTTTTCTACAAACTGTTTCATACAATCCTCACCTCTGTATAAGTATGGTTGGCATGTATTATCAATCCTGCTTACTACATTCAACATATAGCCGCACGGTTTATGTTCCTGATATGTGCCTTTGATACCATTGTTAGAGTTAGTGGTTAGACATTCAAAATCACCATAGATTACAAAAGGACAAGGCAATTTAGTATTATGCTTTTCAAATTCTATATAAGTGTCTTTATTAGGCATCTTTGTTTGTTGTCCTTCTGATGCCATACATCCTTTTTCAAGATGGTTCTTGTATGCCTTTTCTGATTGAAACGGATTTAAGCAATGGTGGCAGTAAAACTTTTTATTAGTGTTGCTACTGCTCTGACAGTTTAATAATCTACATTTATTTTTTACTAATACATAATGATAGTGATTATCTTCATCATAGATTTTTAACAAATCTATTTCATATTTAGCATTTCTATTTTTAGTTCCTCTATGTAATATGATTTTATTATCATTTAAGCAGTCATCAGGTTCAAAAACATTTATTGAAACTAATTTGTTGTTTTCTTCAAATCTGTCTATGTCCCTATTACCAGATGGAAAATTTACACCATCCCAGTTCAAAATATCATCTTTCAATTTGTTATAGTGAAACATTTCCTCTGGGTGATGTTTGCTTATTTTCTCATAGACTACGGATTGAATGCAATATTTGAAGCATTTTTGGTCTTTGTTCTTGATGTTGATACATGTCTTCTTTAACTTAATCCATTCTGGTAATTCTATGTATCTCCCTGCTCTTGTTGGGTCATATTTGTCATAATGAATGGTTATTGACAAAAAAATTTTGAAGCGTAAATTAGATGCTGATGCTTCTAAATTTTGTATTTGTAATAAGATTTGTTTAACACTATCTTCTAATGCCTGTGTCAGTTCATCTTCGTTACTAATATTGAAGCGTGTTGATGGTAAAGCATATACAAGTTCCTGACTGCCAATTTCATTACCTCCATCATCATATTCAGGTTTTTCGAATAATCCTTCCGTTCTTATGTTAAGTTTCATGCTTCTATTCTTCCTTAAAAACTCTAATAGTCGTGGTTTTTGGTGAGCAATCATTTCTAAACCTCTTTCTCCTTCAAAGTGTTTGTTTTCTAAAACGATTGAATTAGCATATCTTCTAAATGCTGACTGAATATCTCTGACCTTAAATTTGTTTTGTATTGCGTGTTTGGTTAGTAAGTTTCTGACTTTTCCTTCACTAAACGCATCCTTTGCCTTGTTTAAAGCATAACTTCTGTATTCATTAGTTTTCTTCACTGATAATAATTTCTTTGTTAAAACATTAGATATGGGTTTGTCTTTGTTGTATCTAAATTTCTTGTTGTCTATTACTATTGTTTTCAAATCTTTTCTTCCTCTTTTCGGTATTTCTGCTTTATTAGTATTCAAAAGATAGTCTATAACTTTTTTCATCATATAATAGTATATATTTTTTTTAGTCAGTTTATCTTTAAGTAGTCTTTAATGAATGATATATTTTAATCTTTGAATATATACTTAAAATTTTTAAAAATAGTTATTTAATTAAGTATATTAGTAGGATGGATTGTGTGAAGGATTTGCCCGTTGATGTGTCGAGTAAAATTGCTTCTTATAAAATTGGAGACCCTAAATACTTGAAAATCAAATATAACCATATTGAGGCATTAAAGAGAATACAAAACAAATATAAGATTTCAAGACACGGTCCTAAAATAACAAGACATTTGAAATCAAGAAAAAGATATACATAATTGAATACTGTATTATGAACTGTATTATGAGAGAGGGAGCGCCATTTAGTTTAAAAAGTACAAAAGACACAATAACAGAAGAACAAGAAGAATTATTATCTTTAATTTATGAAGAAGTAGAAGATGATTTAAACTATAGTTAAACCTGATGATGAAGTTCAATTAACGGCAAAACTCCCAGAAAAAGAATATGAAGAAAATGAACTTAGTTATAGAGATATTTATTTTATGAATGACTTTGATGAATATTTAGATGAAGATAATATAGATACAATGTTAGAGAAAGCAGTTGAAGAAATACAAACCGACATAGAAGAAGACCAAGATAAAGAGAGTATAATAGGAATACAGGCATTTCATTTTAAATTAGTAATTATTAAAGACATTTACTCATCATAATTCTAATAATATTGTTTACTAGATTTATGGATTTTTAAGATGGATTATTAAAGACTAAGGAATTATCTTTATTGTTGTTCTTTGTTTTGGTTTGTATTTTGTTCTTTGCTTTGTCAGTTTTTTTGTTTGTTGGGTTGTTGTTTGGTTTTGGGTATTGGGTGTTGTAATTTTCTATGAATAAAATGATAAATCTGAACTACATATTTAAGAAAATTACTGTTTTAATATTTATGGAAGATAAAACCTGCAAAACTTGTGAAAGAACTATGGACATTAATAAATTTAATGAAGGATTAAAAACTTGCAAAATGTGCTTATCAGATCAAAGAACCAGTTATAACAAACATAAACATAGACGAAATGAGGTTCAAAGAAAAAGATATGAAGAAGATGAGGAATATAGAAAAACGAAGCAGGACTACAATAAAACATTTCAATCTAAAATTGTTAGTTGTTCTGTTTGTAATTGTTCAATGACCCAAGCAAATTCCCATAAACATAAGAAAACAGAAAAGCATCAAAGAAATTTAGAACAGGTCAGTAGTTAGGATTTTGTAAAAATGAATGAGGTAATGATGTATTGTCTGCTATGAGTTTCTAAAAATGAAAGAGGTAATATATGGTTAGTAGTGATGATTTTGAAAAATGAACGAGGTAGTCTATGGTTAGTAGTGATGATTTTGAAAAAATGAAAGAGATAATTATGTTTTGATATTGTTGAGAGAAAATGAAGCAATCAACAATATTTAAACTGACTTTTTTGACTGTTATGCTTTTTTAATGAATAATTTTTGAGTTGTTATACTGCTATGATATGAAATGTAAAATATTCTCAGGATCAACTTTTTATACATTTTTTTTTTGGGGGGGGGGTCGAATCAATTGATTTATCAATCATTCATCACATGGGAGGGGGGGGGGGAGGGGGGGGTGGGGGTGTTAGACATTGATCTACCAATCTTTAGTCCCGAGCAAGCTCTCAAGCCAGTCCCTTTGCTTCGCAAAGCAAACTCAAGGTAGTCCTTACCAGGCTACCTTTCGTGATGTTTAGTTTTTGCCTCAAAGGATGGGAGCAAATGGGGTACCCACGTCAGTCGGTGTTCATTCCACTCCGTTCAAGCTTCGAGCTGGGCACATGCTGGTACTGCGTCATGGTGTCAGTAGAAAAAATCAGTGCAACACCAACAAGGAGCACGAGGCAGCAGCAGCAAGTATCTGCTGTCCTGCCGTCTCAGCAGCTTGCTAAGTGGCTGCAAGTGCGCAGCACTTCCTGCTAGGAGCTTCTCTCTGCATAGCTCGCTGAACAAGTGTCGAGCCATACATCTGTGCAATTCTAGGTTTCAAGCTCTGAGCCTGCCCAACTCTCCCTGAGACTTCGCAATCCCTTTAACATCCTTGAATTAACATAGTTTTAACACAGGGTTAGGGAGCGCCACAACCAATGCATCTTCAAGAGTACAACTATATACAGCAAAACATCAATCATGTCAATCAAGGGTGTGAAAATCGATCTTTAGAATGCTCATGAGCACATGAATCTGCTGTACCGGGATCAGGCCAAGTAGATGTTGCCTGGGCGTTTGCTTGCTGCACATTGCAGCCTACACATGAAACATCATGAAACACTGGCGTCGAAAAACCCTTGGGCATCCTTGGGCCACCGAACGGTTCTCCATCAGCTTCTGGAAGGCTAATTTTGCGGCCTTCATACGTTTTCACTCGCTTCTTCGTGCGACTCGCGCCGGCTTGGACACGCCTCCTGGTCATGCGGGTTCTTGTCAGGATGCAGCTGTCGCTGCAAGTCCTTGAAGACCTGTGCCAAGTCGCCGAAACCATGCAGTATGAGGGCAATTGGATGTGATGGGTATTCTTCTTTGGCTCCCATGGCCAACAACAACAACAACAACAGCTGGCACCCCTCAAAAGTGGCCTTCTTGCGCTCTTCCAGTGGGGCATCGCGAGTGCTATCCTCAGAATGACCACAATTGCCGAAAGCAAAGGCTCTTGCTGACTGATTGTGAGGAGATTTTATTCCATCATGTCTGTGCCACTCAGACTCACCCAAGTCGCTATTTTCACATTATGCAGGCGTCCACAGCACCGGGTTGAAGGTTTCGTCGTGTTCTTGGACACTGAAGGACTACTGGCCATGTTAGGAGCGCTCTCAGATGCTCTCACAGCGCTTCAAGTCTTCACCTCCATCTCCTGCAAGTTTCAAGCTAAAGAATGAAGAACATGTCAAGAGACTTGAACTCTGGGCGCCTGTGGCTCTACCACTATAGCATCCTGGCGGTTGAGCACCTGATCAGTTGGCAAAGCTGCAAAAAATACACATTGAGATGGAAAATAATGAAAACATATTAGAGGCCCTGCCTTCATACAATGCCCAAGCCTGCAAAACTTGAAAACATGGTAAGCGAAGCTCTTCAAGCTCTTTTGCACAAATCGTGCGAACTGGTCAAGCAGCATTGTCTTCGACCTGTTTTTGATACGTCGCTGGACTCGGACATTTCGCTCGGCTTGGGTAGGTCAAGTCGGCTGACTTCGCTGACATTCTCCGGGAGGAGGAGTCTTGTGCACTATGCTCGGCCAACTTGCAGTGTGGGGGGCAAATGTTTCTTGGACTTCTCGTGTTCGTCCTTTAAGACCATGTCATCCATGACTGTCCCGCCTTTCTTGGTCCGTCCTCACGCCATGCAACATTCAATGGTGACGTCATCGCACCAGCAAGACTCAGCATCTAGGCGCCGAATGGTGATTTGCGATGCTCCAGTGATTTTCACCGCAAAGAAATCATTGCTCGGGCTTCTCACCTGCTCCTGGCAGTGAACGGGGCGCCCGTCCACAGTCACATTCTTAATGTGGTGTGGTGGAGGCATAGGCGCATTGCAAATGCAATTGTTCCCAAGCTCCACACAACTCGGCACACAGGCCTCCTTCCCTTTCCGCACTTTCAGCGGTGGTGGCGGTGGGAAAGGAGGCTGTGGTTCTCCAGTCCACCCTCCGCGATGATACTTCAGCTTGCCGCACAACCTGTCATTCTCAGGCTTGTGGGTAGGCTTATGGTGCACTCGGATGACGCTGCAGTTGAATAAATGATTGCCACAATCACCATCATTTTGGTAGTTCCAAATGCATCGATCAGCCATGACAGACTGCAAAGGCAAACGTGCCTTTCCTTTGATGTCTTGCAAGCCTGCCTCCACAAGAGCCCTCTTTACTGCTTTGCAGTCCTTGTAGAAGAGCGTGTGGAAGAAACCTTGCCCACATTCAGCACCAACAAACTTGCTTCCGGAAGGCAGGAACCCACAGTCACCCCAGCCTGTCTCAATCGAAAAATTTACGTTTGCACCGAAAATTTCAGCTGCACGGAGCAACTTCTTGCTGGGCCTCAAGGCAAAGAATCCCACATTGAAGGGTTCTCCCACCCCGCCGCTTGCACTGATGAAGTACCCTCGCGCAGCACAGTGCAGCACGGGTGTCATATCACCTTGAAACTCCACATCCTGGTCCTCCGAGTGCGAGCATGAAATGGAGCAAGGTGTGAAGAAAATATCATATAATATAGAGTGATGGATAAATGCTAAAGGGAAGAGAACTCAGCCAATTAGAGCAAACCATACCGGCAACTAGTAGGCAGGGACCTTGGGAAGATCAAGTAGACCCTCAAAATTGGGGTCTAGAATCATTTTCCAGCAGCAAATCTAGCACCTTTCTTGATCATGACGTTAGACCTCACCCCCGAGATCTCTTGAAAGGGTCTGACGGGCTTCTAGTTAGACCATTGAAAAAGTACAAAGACAGTCCAGCCAGACCCTGTCTTGCAGGTAGAGCTGTGGAATGTTTATGTTGCAGTACCAGCTCCAAACCATATGTTTGATCTCTATCTGCGCTTTTCCGCTGTTTCACCTTACATTCCTTGTCCTATGTGACACGCATTTGTACGGTTTTAATACTTTTTTGGTGGGACGCTAGTCCGTTGCCGTTCTCGCTGACCTAGAGTCGCCAAGGCCATTGCACCAAGTTAGACCTTCGACTCCCAAGTACTCCAGGTGCACCCATCCTAGACCCTAAGTAGTTGAGGGTATAGCAGCTATAGTGATGACTCCAAAGAAACACCTTCAAAACTGCCGGGAGGACATGTTAAGATGCTCCTCGCGTGAAACAAGTTGCAGTGCAGTTTTGAAACTCCTTAGGCAAGACCGGGGACAATTTGTAGATCAAGAACAATCAAAACGTTCTCTCATGACTCTGTCCAAAGCGGCATAGAAAACGACCGCATCATACTCATCCAGGCCCAAGGCATGTAATCTCATCAGGTCTTGTGGACCACACCAACCATCGGCTTTTCCAGGCCACCAGTAGCTCGGATACCACGACTTCGGTGGAATGGTCCATGGCACCTCAATCAGTCGAATCTGGTACCGCTCCACTAGGCGACGTTGACGGCACCCCAATTGCTGGATATCCGTCTGAGGCATCAGAACGACGATGTCAGCAACACCGCCGTGCTCTTCTAATTTCAAGCTCTGAGCTCGCATGCTATCCAGAAATGTGAGCCATGGCCAGCCAGGATTCCCCACGTGGGCATAAACAAAGGCATATCGTCCTCCTGAAACGCCAGCGGCACAAGCTTCTACATCAAAGCATGGGCCATTTTTGGCCCCGTCATTGCAACAATGATTGCAACCAACTCCACGCCGCAAGAGAGAGTCTACGGATTTCACCGTCACTTTGGGCTCCCTCAAAGGGCGTCGACGCGGAGAAGGCTGTGAACCCGGTGTCTCCGGTACTGCTGCCCCGGCAGATTGAAAGCTCTTGTCGTTCTGGTCCCTGTCATCTACCGGATCGGCCAAAGCCACAGGTGACACGTCGTCCTGGACTGGATTCTCGATTGTAAGAGGATCGTCCTCCTTTAGCTGATCCAACTCGTCCTTCATGTGCTGGACGCCAGGTCTTGTAGGAAAGGCTTGTGGCCTTACGGGCCTTGCAGCACTGGCGTCTTGGGCCTTCTGGGCTTCCTGCTCAAAGAGTTCTATCATGTCGAGACTATGGCCTCGCTCCGCATTTTTGACCCCGGACACCTCGCTTTGAAACCAAAGCCCCAAGCAAAAGCCAGCGAATATCAGCCCCACAAGTAGCAGCCTGTTGAATCCAGGCATACATTTTTGAGCTTTCTTTTTGGCCCCCATGGTGATAAAACCAGTCGCCCCACATCTCACATCAACTTGAGGAAAAATTGGCTGAAGGAAAACACGCTATACACGCAGTGTCCGGTTACTGAAATGTGTCCATTCAGCATCTCAGGCGAGAGGAATCTATATATATAAATATAATACATAAATTCTGTAGCCAGCGTTGCTGGAGGATCAAACAACCGCCTAGAATGATTTGCAGTACCTAATGATTGGTGTGCTATTTGGGCCGGCTCTAATCTGGTCAACGTGAAGGCCTCACCGTGCTGTTGTTCCGCGAGGTTGTGGCCGAAGAACTCTAAGAACTCAGCATCTGACAGAACAAATCAGACAAGTTCAACAATGCAAAGCCAAGGAAGGTGAAGACTCTACAGTAACAATCTGACATGAGGCCTCACCTTCTCCATCTGCCCAGACAGGTCCCATGCGGCAATATTCAATAGCAACAATGCGCAGAGTAGCTTGCTGGCACACCCCAATCACTTGCTAACCCCGCTTCGAAACCACCACTTGGACACGTGGGATTGTGTTCAAATGAGTTTTGGTGATTGCTACTCAGTTGGACTGATGAACACCTCCATGTCAAGAATGTGTATGATCTTGTAACCTTGATGCAACATCTTCTCAAAATCTTCTGCTTCTGGGCCACAAATGCAAACCAACTCGTCCATTGCATCTGCTGCAGAAAGAGAAGTTCCAACAAAGATTTGTCCAACGAGCGCGGAGCACAACATCGGCATGCAGCTCAGGCGATGACTATTTGCTTCATCACGCGGTCCATCAAAGAACTCGCCTTTTTCTCCGCGGCCTGCGACCAACAGACCGCGGCTGATGCAAGGCTTCTCGGATCTCTCCAACCGCGGCTTTTCCCAAAACGCCTCTTGCTGCTTTTCCTTGGCCAGTCTTTCTGCGGTCTCTTTCCTGGGACTCTTTTGACCGCTTGGACTGAAGGGGTGCCATGAATTTGGACACGCCAAAACAAACGGTTTGCACCAAGCTGCGCTTTTCGTGCCTTTTCCTCTCTACTCTCCTCTGCTGACCTTAATTAATTGGATCTAATTGGCATGCAAACACAACAAGGAGGCGGCTGGTCGCCATCCTTCATCTCTTGGACTAGGTCACCTTACCTAGGTCTTTACCAAAGTTCCCTTACCTAGGTAGCCTGGTTTCCTGTCTACCGGGACAAAACTGAGGCTATCACATCTTCGCTCCCGGCCAGGGCGTCCATTGGTGCCCAGTGTCCTGGGTAGGCCATTGCAAGACGCACAGTTTGGGGTCCCAAACCATGGCATTTTCAAATGATCGACACAATGAAATTTCCTTTAGTTTTTTATTCATGGTTCATGGTAGGTAGGTTTCAGACTGCTGATTGCCCTCGCCGATGCTGACCATGAGTGGTCTCCTGTTGACTCACACTCCCAGCGGCCTGCAGTCTTCGTTTTGTACGACGCCGTCTGAAACCGGTTTGATGCAGCTGGCTTGCATCAGGTCCTTTGGTGGCTCTGATCTAGAGCGACCCCACCTTGACAATGCCATTGTGCATCGTCTCTTGCGCTGATTCGAGCGCATCGTCTCGGTAGTATTGCTGGTCAAGTGCATGGCACTCATGCCCGAGCCTGCCAAAGAATCCGCCAGTGCTCTGGCTGCTCGAAGCCTCCTTGCACCGGTGAACGCACGGTAAAACATTTAAAAAAAAAACATAGGACGCACTTGAATGACTTAACGATATCATTGGTCTTGCAACACTTCTCACATGCAAGGACCCGCCCTGCCGTCCTTCTTTTCTTTCCGTCGTTGTGCCTCTCGACGTTGCGCTTCTTTGCGCTGCTGCGTTTCCTTGCGCTGCTGTGCTTCCCTTTCCTGTTGCTTCTCTTGCTGCTTACCTGGTCACATTACGCATAGCACGGCCATAAGAACTATGGTATGGCTCAGTTGCTGCGCCCTGCACCGGACTCCAAAGCCAGCTGCGTTTCATCCAAGCTGCGTTGATCTTCCCGCTTCTGGCGTTCAGCTCGTTCGGCCTCTGCTTCCTGCTGCGCACGCCGGCGCAACTCCTCCTCCTAGTAGCTGAGGAAAAGCTAGCAGGCTCAGGCTCAACACGGCTCAACCCAATGCAAAACCAAATTTGGTGAAAAGAACGATGCGCTCAACAAAAGCTGACAAAAGCTCACAAAGCAAAGCATTCCAATCTTCTTACTTCTCATCAGGGCCTTCTTTTTCCAAACTTCTTCCTCCTGCCGTTTCCGCTGTCGCTCAGCCTCGTCCTGCTGCTTTTGCACAAACTCCTGCCGGCTTTATGATCGATCTTGACTACCTTGTGTGGAACGACTGCTACATCTGCTTGGGCTGAGTTGGCCTGAGCTTCGAGTGTTGCCATTGCTGTGTCAGTGAAGGAAGGTCCAGCACTAGCTTCTGATGATTGATCCCCGTCAACCATACACGGCATCTCTTGACATAATCGGCCTTCTGCTGTTGCTTTCTTGTTTCCTCCTCTTGCCTCTTCCTGTCTTTCTCCACCTTCTCCTTTCCAGGCAAGGATGCTACTGGCCGAGTGCTAGTGGCCTGGGTAGTCAATTTCAACACCATCCTGCTCACGCTTCTTCTTGATCCAGTCTTGCTGCCACGCTTCCTGCCGGGTCGTTCAGTTCCTTTGCTGAACAAAAAATGCTCTGCTCAGCCCACCTGGTCTGCTTTGGTCTGGTCACGCTGGGACTTCTGCCTAAGAAAGGCCGCATGGACAGGCGAGGGCCATTCTGGCTTTTCGAGTCAAGGCCCACAAACGAGAGAGGGAGAGAGTAACTTGAAGGGAACCAGCATTTCAATTCAAACCGCAAACCCCACCAACACTTCATGGCGTTACCCATGCCAACTCCAGACTCGAGTGTCTGCTTGACTCTTGACCTCAGGCCTACTTTATATACCCCTTGCATCCACGTCTACCACTCATTCCAATTCGATTGGGATCAAGGCTACATGATTCTACATGCAAAGGCTTGGCACTACAAATGTTTTGCAAGTTGCTGGCTGTTTCAATGAGTGACTGATCTTTTGAACAAAAACGTTCCTGTCACACAGCCATTCTGAATTAGATGTTGGTCTCTGAATTAGATGTTGGTCTCAGTCAAGGTTGAAATAGGGGGTGAACCATTGTTCGCTGTGGAGAGCTGCTACCGGCCGACTCTCAAAATGCATCCAAAGCTATGGCAATCATAAATCTAGCCGAGTGAAGCGCTTCAAGCAACAAAATCCTTGATAGCAGGCCCTTTACATATAATACAAAAGGGAGGAGGGTTCGCACACCTGGGCACCGGAGGGAAACTGACTACAACGAAGCCGGGCAAGATCGGCCCACACTGAAGATACGTTGCGATATCTGCAAGCACACCCACAAATAGTAGGGCGTCTTGCCGGGCTACTTGCGCTTGGTTCACAAATTTGGTTGGCCTCAGGATGTTTAGCAAACATGGTGCCTAAAAAAGTGCCCAGCATATTGGAGAGGTATACTGCATATATACTGTGGCGCGTAGCTTGCACCATCTTGCACCTTATTCAAGCACATATCATTGGCTCAACACCCAAAGCGAAGCTAATGATTCGCTCCAAAATCGGTGTTGGTGCATAAATGGCATTTGGGTCAGTCCCCTTTTGCCAGCTCCAAATGGGTCAACATCGAGATCTGCCCCCCCGCTCCAACCTGCAGCAAACCCCAAATGGCATCATATGATGGACACTAGGGACCTGCATGCATGGGCATGCATGGGCATACATGGGCCATATTCATACACTACAACTTCAGATGTCCGACTAAAACCAACCAAACATTGCATGGCCCAAAGCAGCAAATTGGAAGCGTGCCAACAACGGAGAGGTTCATTGCAATGAGCAACCTCTTCCACCAAAAAGGGCTCACACCGCTGGCTGCCACGTGCCCATCGGATCACTGGGACACTCTGGGATTCTTGCTGTTCCTCCTTCTCTCGCTGGCGTCGTTGCCTTTCTGACTCTTGCTTGTGATACCAGGTGTTTGGCCTAAACAAAGCGAAGCCGACGCTTTGACCCGTCGACTCTTCGTCCGTAGATGTCGTCGACTCAGGCGTGGGCTGTGTCGGCACGTGCCAAGT